TTCAACGCGGAAGTAAGCCTATGGGTGAGACTTCCGGTTCATTAGCCGCTATAGGTAAATAACGAGGAGAATAACAACATGCAGTAACGGTAAAACTGTTTGCATTATAAACCAGTGTGTTCGTAACTAAGACAACACATTCAAATAATATGGTAAGACAGAACTTGCTCCCCAATCAGTACCTGATAAACACCTTAATACATTAATCCCTCTTTTACATTTTTCAATTAATTTCTGTATATGTATTCCAAAATTTAATTTTGAATCCATCCACATACCCAGGAATCTGACGACCTTCACTTGCTCCAACTGATGAGTATACATCTTAATGTTTAATTTTGGATTATTTTTCTTATTCGAAAAACAAATTACTTGAGTTTTCGCCACAGAAAAACAAAATCCCCATATCTTAGCCCATCTCTCTACCTCATTCACCGCATTTTGCATTTTGCTTTCCACAAATGAAATATTCCGTCCCCATTTCTATGAAAAATAGAAGCACTGTCAGGCCGGAGCGATGATTCAGCATATAGTGATCTATGCTCTGTCGTCAGCATATAGTGATCTACCTACTCCACTTTATACTGTAAAAAATATCATTTATCATCAAGTTAAACAGAATAGGGCTACTTACACTTCCTTGCGGAGTTCCATTCTCTATCAAATATATTCTAGAATACTCTGTGTTCCCAATCTAACTTGAATTGTTCTTCCAAACAAGAAATTTAAAATCCAATTGTACATTATTCCATTAATTCACAGACTTTCTAATTTCATTAATAACTCCTCTTTCCACAGCATATCATATGCCTTTTCTACGTCAAAAAAGACTCCCACTAACACCTCCTCCTTAATTTGAGCCTTTCTTATTTCATTATCCAGATAAACTATAGAATCCATAGTACTACGCCCCTTTCGAAACCCCCTTTGATATGCTGAAAAAATATTCCTACTCTCAATTACAAATATCAATCTATTCATGACCATCCGTTCCATGAGCTTGCATAGGTTGGATGTCAAAGCTATAGGTCTATAATTACTAGCCTTTGAACCATCT